ATATGCTGACTCTGTAAACCGCTTAGAGAGGGCTGAAAGCCCTATGAAGCGGTATATAAGTCTAACTGCTATTGCTATTGCTATTGCTACCCCCAGGCTCCGTTTTTGGCTGCGACTGCCTCTTGCAGTACTGTGTCAGCAAAAATGGAGCTTGGGAGCTTTCCCCATTGGAAGGGAAACCCACTTAGGGTTGGTGTTAGCTCCCCATGAACTCGTACAGCAAAACGGACATCGTCAATGGATTCAGAGCACATCAGTATGCTTAGGAAGGCACTGGCTTTTTCTGCCTGCCTTATCCACGTTTCCTGGTAAAATACATGGGAAAATCCCATTGGGGGGAAAACCCACTTAGCCTGGGAAGGGTACCCACGACACAAGTGATGTTGACCTGGCCATGCCCACCCCAGCCACACCCACCCAGCCTCCGAGTTCAAATGCAACTTTCATTGACGGCCCTCAATGAAATTGAGTTTGACACCCCTGTTCTACATCCTTGGGAGTGGCTGGATTCCTTCTTGCTCTTCTTGAGTAGTACAAAACCAACTACCATGGAACCAACTGCCTCTGTCAGGTGCCTAAAGATCCCTATCAGGATGCTGCCATTCTGAAGGGGAGTGGGTCTTGGATGCTTTTTGACACCCTTTTTCATGTATCTGATCTTCCTGTCACTTTGATGTACCTGCTTGGGAAAGGGAGGGGGAGGGATTGGCCTGTGGCCATCTGTTTTGTCCCAGCTCTGAAGGAACGGGTGAAGCCACATCTGAGAATAACTTATCATCTTCTCAGATCGAGTTTTCACAACAATGTCGGCACCTTTGGAGTGGCACACTTCGGACCAGACACAGGGGAGGGGTTTTCTGCAATGTTTAATCTAAGGGTTTTTTTTAGCAGGAACTTCAGATCCTGCCTTGCTTTACTTGCTATCGCTTTCTCTTTTGAAGAGGAACTTCAGATCCTGCCTTGCTTTCCATGTTATCACTTTCTCGCAATTAAAAAAAGTTCTGCTTTCTTCAGGAGAGAGGAGAGGCAAATCCTTACAGCCTCATCCAATCAGAATATCCAATCAGAGATTGAGACAAAGAACCTCTTTGCCAAAAACTGGCATAAAACAACCCCACAAAACACCTGCAGGTTCCAAAAACTGAACAGGACAAGAATTTGGAGTGGAGAGGCTCTTAAACAACAAGCCAGAATCATCGTGATTTTGTTTCATTTGATGTTAGTGATCCAGGAACATCAGAAATCCACCAAGCTCCTGTTTAGCCACCCAGTGGGTTGCAGCAATCCAGAGCTTCAGATGAGAGGCTTTTTCAACCTTTCCTGAAGAGGGTGGAGATGGCCAGGATCCCAGAAATGGAGGGTTTCCGATTAAGCCATGTAATTCACTTATGTTAAATGGGTTAGTTACCAGAGGGATCTTGGGATTCCGAGCAGCTGCCACAGCTAAGGATCCAGAGATGATGTACTGGAAGAGAAGGAAAAGCAAGTGAACCACTATGGCTCTATCCCCAGAGAATAATATATAGACCCATATCTCTCCCCCACCTTAAATTTTTTCTCTACTATCACTGCTTATTGTTCTCTGATTATTTGTTGTGTTGAACCTCAATCAACACTCCATATTCTAGCTCAGTGTTTCTCAACCTTGGCCATTCGCTGGCTGGGGAATTCTGGGACTTGAAGTCCGGACATCTTCAAGTGGCCAAGGTTGAGAAACACTGTTCTAGCTGAAGATGCAGCTGTTGTAAGCCATTAAAGAAAGGAGCTACATTCACAGGCCTGTTGTGTAGCCCTGCACTAGCATTCAGCATTTTCCCCATTTTGTTGTGGCAAGGACACAGCTCTCCAGATGCTGTGAACAATTGTCAAACTCAGGATTCCAGTTGAAGGAAACCACTAGGAAGGGTAGCCATAAATGGCAACTGATCCTCGGAATGATTATATGGACAGTCCTCAACCATCAAAATTGAGATGGGCAACTTGGTGCAGTTATTAAGTGTTATGTGACATGATTGTGCTGACTTATACCAAGAGAGGTCCAGGTGCAGCAATGAAGCAAATCATATAAGTCATTCGAAGCACAAATTCACAGGAATGTGACTTTCAATCTCCTGCTGGCTTCCCCATTGATTTAACATGTCGGAAGCTGATTGTGCAAATGGTGATCTCGTAGCCACAGGATGCTACAGCCATTGTAAAATGCACGCCAGGTGCCCAACAACCAAATCATGATCATGGGAGCCTTAGAGTGACTATGATGGCCAGATGTTTGAAAACTGGTCCATCTCCCCCTCCTCCCCCCCCCCCGTATTGTAGTTTGGAACAATTGCTGAATGAGCTGGGAATGAGGAAAGAGAGCCAAGGAAGTTACTCCCATTAATATTTGTAATCTCTTATGTTCAGCAGTTTTCTGAAATGTTCTGAAATTTGGAGAACAGAACGTTAGCCACAAAATGGAACAAGCCAAGCTATTAAACCATAGCATCCTTCAGGTGAGGCCAGTTTGCCTTGAGGCTGCTATGATATGCACTGGGATATCCCTGGTTGTGCTTTTGACTTTTTTTTAATACACCACTATGTAAAATTACCAAGATTCCACTCCAATAAGGCATCTTTANGGCACTGTAGATTTGTGGAACCTCTTCTATAGAAGAGGTTAGAACTGGCAGGAACTCACCCCTGGGTCAGGGCCAGCCAGAGGTGGCATTTACCGGTTCTCCGAACTACTCAAAATTTCTGCTCCCGGTTCTCCAGAACTGGTCAGAACCTGCAGAGTAACACCTCTGATTGCTAGCACCTGGTCAAGATGGGACCCAGTCCCAACCATCTAGTTTGGTCTCAGTCTACAAAACAAAAACTGAAAACCGCACTTTTGTGGAACAAAAAAAGTAAGCATTTGGTCAAAACAATGAAATGCAATAAAAGCTGTGGTCAGATTTTCCTATGTCCTGCATAAATATCTTACCAAACTTTGGCTGTACTGATACAGTTGCCATTTTCATTCTTGGCCATGCCTTGAAGGCACTACTCTTGAAGCTGTTTCGAAAAGATTGGGCGAAAAAAAATTAGAGCAGGCCAAACTCTTGAAACCCCAAGACAACATTTCTGCCTCTCGATTCCATGGTTAAAACTCTGTTTGAGAGATATTTGTGACCCCACCACGTCCTCCAAAGATTTGCATGTCCAATTGGAGGTCACCAATTGCCTTCTCTGCCCTATTGAAGCCAACTTTTTAGATGAATTCTGAAAGGTCACAGACTTACGAAATTTTCAAAACACATTTCCTTAGTTTGCTCTGTAGCTGTATGGCAAAAAAACATGAAATGATATATGAAACTTGTGATTGAGATAACCAGGAACATGATGCCAAGACCAGCAGTTACGGCACTTATCACATTCATTGCCAGCGCGCCTTGCACCTAGGAGAGATAAAATAAATTAATAAATATATATAAAAAGGCACACACACCAAGAGATTCAGCTAGCTTTGAGTTCTGAATGTGCTTTAGACAGAAAAGTTGAGACTTTTATTCTCTCCACCAGGGGTGTCAAACTCAAGGCCTGCAGGCCAAATCCGGTCCACGGGGTCTTAGATCTGGCCCATGGAGACACCCTGGAAACAGCAAAGGACCAGCCTACAGTGCCTCTGACAGCGAAAACAGAGCTCAGGAGTGCCATGCATGGTACCGCATGGAGCCGAGATGGCGCAGTGGTTAAACGCAGCACTGCAGGCTACTTCAGCTGACTGCAGTTCTGCAGTTCGGCTGTTCAAATCTCACCGGCTCAGGGTTGACTCANATTTATATCCTTTCTTTTGTAATAAATAAATGCACAAGAAAAGGCCATTCTTGCTATCAACACATGTGAATCATCAACAAGGGCCAACATGAAGTTGTGGAATCTCCTATGATTATTTTATTGCAATGTGGGAAGCAGGAGGGTTGACTCCCCCACCCCCCGAAACTGTTGGATTCATAAGCCATGGTTTGTTCTAATCCTGGCTTGCCTGGGAAAGACAAGCCAAATAGTTTGTGTGTCACAATAAGCAAACCTCAGAAAGAGCATTCCTTGGTTTGCTTAGCAAGTCCCGCTAACAGAAGCTAAGTGGGAGCTATTGAGCAGCGTTCACTAAGCACGCTTGCTCTTTCACAGCGAGTCAGAATTCTGGCTTACCATGACGTGTGACCACTCCTATTCTCTTGTCAGTGGTTAAGAGTTCCCCAGCACAGTCTGGCACCAGCCCTATAGAGGACAGCAGAGTCAAGGCCTTTATATATCCAGTATCCTAAAACCTTAAAACGTTTTGTGAAACCAGTGGCTGATTCAATACAGTGCAGTTCTCAGCTATGGAACTGCACAAGTCAGTTTTGAACTCAAGACCACAGCGGCATTAACGTCCATCATGAAAAAACTGGAATGTGCCAATATAGATTTCTCCCTCCATTTTTTTCCCCATGGGTCTTATCTTACGGGAGCTTCCCTCTTTGAAGCATCCCAGCTGATAATGGACGACTTGTCAAATTGTAGAAGGAGAAAGCAGGAGGGCAGAAAGGGCTCTGGGCTCGAAGGGGAAAAAGATTCTTTAGAGTCTGAGCACAAAGAATCTGTTAGGAGGGCAGCCAGGAGAAAAGGTAAGATAATTCTAGCAACAACAACAAAAATACTATTCAAATCTTTGCTAGCTGGGACAGTCTGATTTCCAAACAAACAGCCTCTGACTCTACTTATTAATACATCCTTCACTTCATCTTTACAACTACTTAGTAATGTAAGACTGAACTCAGAGATAGCAACCAGTTCAGTCTTTTGTGAATTCTACGGCTGAATGAGAACTGAAATAGGTTTTTCCAGTCCAGATCTATCATATGGACTCTATGCTAAGTAATCAGTTCAAGCAAGATTTTTTTTCTAACACGGATCCTTTTAGAGAAGGGTTTCCCAACCGTAGCAATTTGAAGATGTGCGGACATCAACTCTCAGAATTCCCCCATGGTGGGAATTGATATATACACATCTTTTAAGTTGCCAAGCTTGGAAAATACTATTTTAATACTATGGTTGAACTAATCTGAAACATTAAAAGCAGTCTGAATATGAAATTTCAGTTAGATTACTGAGGGTCTTTTTTTATTTCTGGTAGGGTTACATTAAGCTTGTTTCAAAAACTATTTTTCATTATTGTCTACAAAAATATAACTACAATACCACAATCCCCCCCCCCAAATGTGATTCCTGAGAAGTACAACCCTTCAAAGTATCACCCAAATTGATGCTGGGGAACACAGAGTTCCGTGTAGACCCCTTATGCTACTCTTCAAGTAACCATTCACATCTTTGGGCTTTTGACAGTCAGGTGCAATACTAACAGCATGAGATTTTTTTAAAAAAAATTTTTTTTAAACTTCTTGGCCTAATACAGGATTCCAGAGAGGATGACAAAAATGACGGTAATCATTGTCCTCTGAATGCCAATGAACTAGGTATTCTGTTCAGTAAAAAAAAAATCCTATCGGACTTCCCTCTGTTCTACCTGCTGTAATTCTGAAGCCTACAACTTCAGAGCTGAGGATAAGAAGGTACATTCCTACTAAGTATAATGGTTTCTCTCTGACTTTTCCATGGAGCAAGATCTTAAATTCAAAGCTACTAATCAGAGGATTTGCAAGAGGGTGGTAAACAGGCAAGAAACTACAGAGAGCAAGCCAGCCACCAGGGGTCAGATGCAGGGTTATACGAAGCTTATCCCAGAACTAAAACATGCACAAAAGCTTACGTAAGGAGCGTCTCCGCTTGTTCTTTAGCTTCTTTCTTTTGTTCATTCCAGCTTTAGAAGGAGACTCTTCTTTTGCCTTTGGCTGGTTGGTAACTTTTGAAGAATTCTGCTGACTGAAGTGCGTTGGTACATGCCGAGCCAGTCCACTCTGGGAAGCAAAACTAGCATTGCATCCTCCCACAACACACTAAAGAAAGGAAAAAAAGTTACAGGTACTCACTGAACCCAGAAGGAATAGGCTGGTGTGGTCTTGCTCTGCTATAATCCTTTCATGAAAAGTACAACTGAGCAATCTCAGTCAACGTATTGAGAAGTGCTCACTTCAAACAGGACATCAATTATTAAAGATTACCTTCCCTTCGTTGTTCTTAGCGCAACACAGCAGGCAATCAAGAAATGACAGTAGACAAAAGTGATTTCTGAACACCAGAGCAGTAACTCAGTTCCAGTGATATGAAAACATAGCCAACAATATGAAATCATGCCAACTGCAACAGCTTTTTTGCATAGTTAACAGCAGATATTAATGGGTTTTTGTTTGTGTGAATGAATACATTATTTTATACAGAAACACATCTAACGATAAGATTAAGTCAATAAGATTAGCAAAAGTCAGTTGAAATATTGCCATTTCCTCAAATATGGTGATTAAAGTAGATGCAATATTCTATGACAACAATTTCTGCTGTCAAGATCTATCTATCTATCTATCNGTGGCTTATGACAGCCCAGTGGGATTTCTCATCAGAGACATTCCACCGACAATTTGATATACATGTTTTCCATGGTGCCTTGTCTTTGGCAAGTCGTTCAAAAGAAGTGCTGGAGTTTACAGAATTTTTGTATTCTCTTCACCCTATCTGGTCAAAAGAAGATGGGTTTATCAAGATCTTCTGGGAACAAGCATTCAACTGCCTATTTCCTAATTCTCATGAGGGCAAAGAGAGCAATAATTCTTGCACTGGAGAAGAGAACTTGGAAAGTCTTCCTGCAACACTCTTTGAAATGACTATGACTAGTCAAAGCTACAGCATCTACAATGCAGTCCATGCCATAGTACATGCTTTGCATAAAATGTTCTTATCTTCCACCCAGATTAAAGCTTATGTCCCATCCAGGTTAGATCCCCCAAAACTGCTACATTGGCAGGTAATGCTTTCCAGATAAATACTTGTATTTATTATGGTAAATGCAATATATAACAGGTGTTATTTCTGAGAGGTTATCATGGAGTTATAGTGTTTAACTACATTCAAACTTTTCATCTTGCCTGTTATAAAATACTTTCTCCCACACAGCTATGTTGGGGACTAATTCAATATTCCTCTTTCTCTTTTCCTTTCTATTTTCTTCTATTACTCCATCTTTAGATCTCTGTTTGCCTATTCTCTCTCTCTCTTTTTCTCCCTCCCTCCCCCCTCTCTCTTCCTCTCATTTTTTTTTATTGTACTGTCTGTTGTTGGCTTGTTTGGCAATTTTTTGCCATAGCCAACAACCAAGCTCAATAAATACCAATAAGTAAGGGTATTCTCTCGCTCTCTCTTCCCATCAATCTCATAGTGATTAGATCTAGGTATATAGCCGTGATGACAAACCTATGGCACACGTGCCAAAGGTGGCTGATGGAGCCATTTCTGAGGGCATTGGAGGAATTGCCCTGCTAGCTCCAGCATGCACCTCCAGCTGATTTTTGGCTGTTTTTCGCCCTCCGAAGGGAGAAAAGCTGCCCAATGGGCAACCCAAAAGTCCATTCCCGAACTTCCGGTTTGCATGTTGGGCTGTTTTTCACCCTCCCCAGGCTCCTAGAAAGCATCTGTAGCTTGGGGAGGGCAAAAAACAGACCTATCAGGCCCACTGGAAGTCAGGAAATGGACCGTTTCCAACCTCTGGAAAGCCACCGGGGAGCGGGGGAGGCCGTTTTTGCCTTCCCCAGACTCCAAGAAAGCTATGAGCACATGCATGGGGCAGGGAGCATAGTGTTGGGGGATTAAATTATGGGGGTGGGCAGGCGAGCTTGCGTGACAGCGTGCAGGATTGTGTGCTTTTGGTAACTGAGGCAAAAAAGGTTCGCCATCACTGGTATATAGCATATTTGCAAAAACAGACCACCCAGTTAGCTGCTGAAAGTTAGCACAGATTGACTATAAGCATGGCATGATAAAGTAGACACAATCATACATTGAGATATCTGGAGAAAATACAATTTCTCTGGAAGTGAGATCTGGTGAAACCACAAAACAGACAAACTGGAAGAAAATGAAGAAAGTAGAGTCCTTGGGGACTTTAAGATTTGAACAGACAAATACCTGCCACATAACACCCCAGATTATAAATGCTGATAAGAAAGACACAGATAATGTGGATAGTGGACATGGCAGTATCTAGAAACAGCAGAATAGAAGAGTAAAAAATTGAGGAAATAAAAAAAATACAAAGGTATGGAAATAAACATAAAACAACTATGGTAAAAGTAAGCAAAATAGTATCAATAATAACAGCTACCTTGGGTGCCATCCTAAACACCTAGTTCCCATTTGAACATGATTGGCTTTGACAATGTCAGATTAGGATTATCTGCAAAAGGCAGATTTACTTAGAATAACATACATCCTGGATAGTACCTTTACATGTATATCAAACCCAGGCCCTTGAGAGGGACTCCATTGGAGAATACAAATATCAAATTGAGTCTGAATATTTTGCTGTGTGACAAATCATAGTAACGTGAATGAGTGAATGAGCCGAGGTGGCGCAGTGGTTAGGGTGCAGTACTGCAGGCCACTTNACTTGCAGGTTCTGCTGGACTTGTGATTTTTGCCCAAAAAGAATGAGCCAATCATAGCTAGGAGAGTCTTTGCACTATTTTGGGTTGTGCAAAAACTGTGTTAATTTCTGGATTGTGAGGCTCTGCTTTCAGTCACTTATGCCATTTCATTATTGCGACACACTCAACATGGGCTACCATTGCAGAGTATTTGGAAGCTATAATTGGTCTACAATAGAACAGTAAAGAAAGTTTTTGGGGTCTCTTGAATGGGTTATATAACATTAATGTTAGGAAAATGGCATTGGCTGCCAATCTGTTTCTGGGTCCAATTCAAGGTATTGGTCTTTACATTTAAAGTCCTTTATGGCATAGGTCCAGGATATTGGAGGAGCCCTCTTTACCCATTGGATAGACCAATCCCAGTCTTGCTGGCAGAATAGGCCTACTGCAGTCCCAACTGGCCAAGAAATTGTGGTTGGTGGGATGCAGGAGAAGAGCCTTTTCTGCCATATTCCTTTGGAATACCTTGCTGTAGGAAGTGAAGTATGACCCAACCATTTTGACTTTCAGGAAATGTCATAAAATTTGGCTATGCTGGTTGGTGTAAGGCCCTAAAGGAGAAGCTGTTGGCTATTGGTGACTAGTATACTACAGAGAAGTCATTAATACCTATCTACTCTAAACCTGTTGTTTTTCCGTTTGTTTTAATCCCTTGTAATTTAAATATGATTTTATAATTGTAATTGTTTATTTATCAATATAGTTTATTATCTTGTGAGTCACCCAAGGGCCACCTCAAATTGTGAGATGAGTGATGCTCATATTGCACTTTGAAGTGACTTTGAATGGCTTACAAGATAGTCTAATCATATACATTATATTATATTTATGTATGTATGAATGTATGTGTGTATATGCATGTGTGTGTGTGTGGAGAGATGTGTGCACAAACACACACACACACACACACTGTGACCAGTTGAGCCACAGTTTTAGAGATACTTGTGAGGCAGAATGACCACACCTAGGCAAATAAGCAGTAGAACAGGAATGACTTTGACTTCCTGTTGACTTCCCCATTGACTTTTCTTGTAGGAACTTGTCAGAGAGCACTGAAAATGATGATTTTATAATTGTGCCTGATTATCTTAGTGTGCCAGTGTGGCAGCACTAGCGAAGTGTCCACCACTCTGTGAAATTTCTCTCCCAAGGAAGTAATAGGTTCCAGCTTTTAATGAATTTTTACATTGTCTGATGTACATGTATATTGGTTAAAAAATGTTGTCCTATGTTCTACCCAGTTAAAGTTTACAAACAATGAAACAGATATGAGAATGTTAATAGAATATAGAAAATTCAGAACCAACAGTTATCATTTACCCTTCTTTTGTTCTTTTAATATATTTTTAACTTAGATTGCTTGCTGTGTATTTGCTCCAGTGACGAACATTAAAACACAGCTCCCTTTTTTCTACCGGATGATCCCCAGTGAAACAAATCAATACATGGGACTTATTCAGGTGCTCCTTTTTTTTCAATGGAAATGGATTGGAATTATTTCACCAGATGATGATCAAGGAGAAAAATTTGTGCAGGCCTTGTTACCCATGCTTTCCCAGTATGCAATCTGTGCAGCCATCATTGAAAGAATACAAACCCTTTCTGGTGTTTTAGAGAATTTTGAGTCATTTGAACCTGTTTTAGAAATGGCTGCATCATTAGCCAAATCCAGTGTTAAAGTCTATATTCTAAATGCAGAACCCCAAGCTATCTCATGCTTGAAATGGCTAGTATACATTTATGGGAGCCTACAAAAGTCAATACAACTAACCAGAGGCAAGGTGTGGCTTATGACAGCCCAGTGGGATTTCTAAAACAGGTTCAAATGACTCAAAATTCTCTAAAACACCAGAAAGGGTTTGTATTCTTTCAATGATGGCTGCACAGATTGCATACTGGGAAAGCATGGGTAACAAGGCCTGCACAAATTTTTCTCCTTGATCATCATCTGGTGAAATAATTCCAATCCATTTCCATTGAA